ACTGTAAAGTCTGTGAAATCCCTTATCAATAAATTACCCCTCTTCAACCATTAGTTTAATATTTAGACAGCCACGGTACACCAAGTATTTCGGCCTTGAGCCTTCGTTTCTGTTGTGAAATAAAATAACAACAACAAAAATTATAAACAGTACTTGTCCATACGGAACCACATCTTTTCAAGATGACTTGAAAAGATAAAAATATACACAAATATCAGAATAAATTGTATACAATCTCTTTAAAAACCACTACTACACCTAGTAGTGGATAGATGATAGATCTTACATCTGTCACCTTCTAGAACACATTAAGGCGGCTAAAGCGCTCCAAATCCTGATCGTACCGCATGATACTAAGACTTCCAAGATAAACCCACTTCGCAATCGAATTTTGTACATCGACGCGCATGACGTCAATTGGTGATAAAAGTCACTTTTGTCACCAACTTTTTATCATCACAGTCGGTAAAACATATATGGAAAGAAAGGGGTTTTTATTTAAATATTTAGAATATTAAGGGATGTTAGGTAAAATATCTGCAATTAAATCTTATAAATATGTCATATATACATCTCTGTTAGCCTAGCAATGTAAACTAAAATTATATAAAAAAGTAAGAACTAAACATCCTTTTGCAAATGGAAATTTATATACAATGGATTGATTAATTAAAATAAAAATTTAATACAACTGATAAAATAAAATACACTGTAATAATTTACAAGTTTATTTAACAATTTATTTTACAATTTTTAATATTTTCTTCTTCTTAACTTTTGATGTTTCTTTAATATATCTATTCAATTTTCTAATTTTAAAATATAATTTACACCTTTACTAACATTACATCTGAACACAGCTAAATCCATTAGCGATTTTAAATAATTCTTGGTTAATTTTAATGACCCTTTGTTAAAATTGTTAAAAATATGGTCCAGTTCATTACATTTAATTAGAAAATCTGGATATGGTTTAAGTAAACCTCCTTCGGAAAAATGGTTTACCCAGTAAACCGATGTCAACGTACAAGATAAACGATAAAACAAAACTAAATCTCAAGGTTAGTAGATATTTAAGTAGATACTTAAATATCTACTAACCTTGACTAAATCTGACAAAACTCCATACAACACAGAACATTTCTGGTGACATTTGTCGCCAAGTGACGTCACACGACTGATCGCGTGCGCGTGGGTTTACATGTAGTTTATAGTATCATGATCGTACCGCATGGCCGATAGTGTAAGAGAGGGGATTATAGATTGGTCTGTGGTTCCGGCCGACGCATACTGGGACAGTAGGATAAAAATTCGTGAAATTGTGATTCTACTATGGGACTACTGGCCCACAAAGGGTTAATTGTTGTACTTCTTGTAGACGGTAGTGATGGATCAACACTTTCATTCCTTAAAGATTCTTTTTTCATTTTCATTTGGAGGCGTTTAGGTTGTTCATTTTTCTTTTTAATAGTTTTCGGTGGATCGTCGCTTTTATCAAAAGTAGCATCAAACAAGTAAATCACTAGCTTTTTGGGCTCGTGAATTAATGGATTTTTTTTAAATCCTTTTATTTTAATCTTGGGAGTGGACAACATTTTTGTGAAGGACTTATTTAGCTTAGATGTAGTGTCTTCAAAGGTATCTGTTGGTACACGTCCCATATCTTCATTAAATGATGTGTCATGAATTGAGTAATTTGAAGAATCATCTCTTTTAGAGCTAACATCTTGGTATTTGGAACGTTTAGAAAATAAGGTTTTGATTCTTTTAGCTGAAGATTATTTCATCGGTTTTTCAGAAGTACTTTGTTCACTTTCTATAATTTTCTTCTGATTTGTCAAAATGTTTTGAGTCTTGCTCATTTGTATCATTTTCAAGCTCAGTTTGAAATGACTGTGCATAAGCGCTCTCTGGAATCATTAATGGATTGAAAGGGTAAATTCCCATAGCTTTGAATGTGGAGATAATATGTCCTGGTGTCATAGCCTTACCCCAAACTTTAAAGAATATTCGTCGAAAGACTGTGCGTATTATCGAACATTCAGGATTATTCATCCAAAAACGAAGAACCTCATCATCCCAAAACGATTCGAAAGATTTAAAAACAGGCTTATTCATAGGCTGTAGCTCATGGGTTGTATTACTCGGCAGACAAGAGTAATGTCTTACTTTACATGATGTTTGCATCCAAAATGAGAGTTAACACTATCAAAAATCAACAAAGTAATATTACCTCCAACTCGAAACTGGTAAAAATGTTCGATCCACTTCACAAAAACATCGCTTGTCATACTTCCTTTAGGTGTCATAACTACCTTGGTTCCAGAAGGAAGATTGTCTTTCCATTCTGGTTTGAGCCTGACTCTTAAATATTATCATTGTATTGTATTGCTACTGGTACGTACTGACCACTAGCGTTAACATTTAGCGTTAACATAACACTAGCATTTTTTGGCAAAAACTTCTTTAAACTTTTTTATCGATGTTGTAAATATACTAAGGCTTTCCGGTAATGTTCAATTCCTCCATGACTACCTTGAACTTCTCAAAGTAATCAGTGACAATCACTTTGTTTACTTGCTCTTGCTGGATTGAAATATCGTGTTTTACGCCTAGACACATAAGGGTGGCGACCCAAAAATGGTCTCAACCACCTACGCCCAGCATTTTGTTTCATTGTGTTAAAAGTATGTGGAATATTGTTTTCATCGCAGAAAGAAAATTTACTTCTTCCAATTATCTTGCTAGTAATAGGCATTCGAGCTTCAGCAAGACGACAAATTTTCTTAAGCAAAGTTTAGTTTCTTGACCAGATAATAAAATCGTATTTTTACCTAATTTTCTAGTAAATATACCTGTTTCGTAAGGTCCTTCTAGGTATCTGGAATTCGTTTAAAGCCTGGTTGACAGTCATTTCATTTCCAACAGCATTCAAGGCCTGCTCCATTTGCTCTTCGGTCCATTCAGTTCGCTTTTTCTTAACCGCATTTGGCTCCATCTTATCTAAAACATATAAACAAAAATTGTTAGTTCAGTGCAATTCAACAAAGTTAGTGATAGGTTTCATTTATAAATAGAGGGATAGTTCTATATAATCACAACGTTTAAGTTAATTAAGGGAATCAAATCTGTATTAAGCCATTTCCCTAATAAGGCCAGAGTTCGCCCTAATAAGGCCAGGCCAGTTTTGATGGACAAATTTACGTTAGTTCGAAAATTAAAACATCTAAAATTATAACCTTCAATTTTAATCTGATGCAACGTTTGACTGACGGTGCAGCATATGACATCATTGCTGGAAAATCATCGTCTAAAGTTTTATAAACCGTAATCTGAGACTGATTATTTTGAGAACGATTTTGAGATCTTGGAAATTGAACCTTCAAATTCAAAATATTTTTAATTATAATTAAGGTTTATTCCAAAAATACAAGAAAATTTAAAAATAATTGGGTGGATTGATATAAAACTAGCCTTTGATAGAAAAAACATGTTTTTTGACATTAAATCGATTTATTTCTCAACATAGTCCCCTTTTAGCTCGATACCTTTAGTAAGACGATGTTACAATTTTTTTAACCCATCCGAATAGTACCTTTGTTCGAGCTCTTCAAAATAGGCCGAAATTTCAGCGACTTCATTATTTGTTGCGCCCTCCGAGCTATTTTTAAGATTTGGTGTTAGGTAGGTATTGAATCCATTCATAGCCAATTTGTGTAATTTTGCCATGACGACGGTAGATTGGTGAGCCGATGCATTGTCTTGGTGAAAGCACACTTTCTTGCGTTTCAAACCAGGACGTTTTCGACGCAATTCGGCATCGAATCGATCCAATAATGCTGTGTAGTACTCACCATTGATTGTTTTTTCTTTTTCCAAATAGTGCCTGTGGATAATGCCCTTCGCATCCCAGAAAACAGTCGCCATCACTTTGCCGCCGGCCGAATATGCACTCTCTGCCTTCGTCGACGTCCCTTCGCCGCGTTTACGCCATTGTTTCGACTGTTCTTTATTTTAGGGTGTTTAATAATGCACCCAGGTTTCATCAATGATGATAAATCGGCGAAAAAATCCTTCGGATCGGGCCCTATCATCGCCATAAGCATCTCCGAAGTGGTCACACATTTTTGCATTTGATCGATTGTCAGCAAACGCGGCACCGATCGCGCGGATAGCTTTTTTATGTCCAAATGATGGTGAATGATGTTGTTTACGCATTCGTAGGAAATGTTTAGGACCTCTATTAACTCGCGGAGCTAAATTCGACGATCTGCTATGTCATGAACTTTGTTGATCATTTCCGGCGTGGCGACTTCATTTGGCCTCCCGGGACACTCATCATTAAAAGCACTCGTACGACCACGAACAAATTTAGCTTTCCAAAAAGTTTACTGTTAATAACGAAGGTGCAGCCTCACCATAAACTTCCTCCAGATCAGCTTTGATTTGAACATTCGTTTTACCCTTGTTGTGGAGGAACTATCACCGAACGATACTCGACTTTTTCCATTTCTCCGAAAACACAAAATTTTTTTGCTTTTGACGGCTGTAAAAACCAAACTAAATGTTTTTAAAACTTAAAATTTTGACAGACGTCGTGTCATGAATGGCAAATGTCAACACCGAAACTAATTGGGTATCAAGTAGCGCCATCAATCAAAGGTTAGTTAAATATCAATCTATCCTCGTAGTTGCCGTTTTAAAGAGTACAGAACAATTTTTTACAATTATCCAGTTAGGTTATCCAATTCTCGGAAATCTTAGAATTTTCATCCCATCGATTTTAATTTGACTTTATTTATATTAAAACAAAGTTTTTAAGTTATTCACAAATAAATTTGGTATTCGAATAATTTGACAAGTTACATTTTATACACTGTATAAACAAAATAATGTAATTTTAAACGATTTATTGTGCACTGAAACATTTTGAAACGTGAATTTTTTTGATACTTTTGTTGACATTGAATGTTTTATAAAGTGTTTTCTTTTTATTTCAGGGCCCGGATATTGGGGTTTGATGAACCCTCAGTGGAACATGTGCTCAAAAGGGCGTCGACAATCGCCTATCAACGTGGAGCCGGATAAGCTCTTATTTGATCCGTATCTTAGGCATATACACATAGATAAACATAAAGTAAGTATATCTAGGTTTTTATCCATCTTGAATATCAATTATGTGCCAATATATTCCGTTTTTTGTAGATATTTTTGTTTATTTTGACTGCGTTAATTTTGTGGTCTTACTTGTTCATCTTTTATTTCCTTTTACAGCTTTTTGTTCGATACTGCTGTCTATTTGTTTAGTTTAGTTAGTTAGTTTAGTTATTAATATTTTTATTATCATAATATTTATTTTTATGTCACTTCAAGGTCTATAATAGATCTATTATATATTATAAAATATATAGATATCTTGTTAAATTTCTGTTTTCATCATTTATTTCGCCTTTATTCAATGTTTTTTTGTTTTAAATCGTAACAATGTAGCATATGTAACGATAAAGCAACAAATTTAATCTTTGGCTGCCAATTGTTTAACAATAAAACGAAACCTTAATGATGTTATTTTAAAACGACACTTGAGATAGCAATTTTATTAGTTGGGCTTCGACTATCTCTTTATCAGGTGTAGGTTTTTAGTCAAACTGTACAATGAAAAATTTTCAGGGACAAATAAAAAATTATACTATAGATTTTCTCAAAGTGTCTAGTCTGTAGAGGGTAAATGCGCAACATCGATGCCATACTTCTTTACAAACTTGTATTAAAACAAACGTCACTTCTTACTACTTAAACTAATCTATCTTTTGTGTTGAGGGTAGCTTAAGTACTAATGCCCACTAACGACCCTGCCTGGCTTCGTTCTCTCAGTGGTTCTTAATCATAAATAATATTTACTACAGCATACTTAGGTTAAATTAAAATAAAATAGAAATTAAGAAATGCCTTTTATTTATGTCACACAAACAGTTTGTTTTTAATTCTACCGTATGTGCTAGCGATACAAACCATTTGTTTATAGATTTAAATAAAATCGAATAAAATAAAACCAAAATATAAAGAAACATTTTATTTATGTATTGTTCCGTTCAAAAGTTAAGGGGGGAAGAGGGGCTCTTGAGTGGAGCGCGCGCCAGACTCAAGATCACCGGGAAAAAGTTACAACTTCAAAAGTACTAGGAGTCTGCGTGACTCCAGCTAAACGGATACGGGTTAACATCATTTTTGGGCACTTATCTTACTCTTGGATCACAGTGCCTCATAGAACACGTCTTTTTATCATTCTATTTCTCTTCGGTTGATGCATAAATACTTGCCTTATCAAAGTTTTTTCTAAAGGCCCGTTTTCACGCTACGTCTTATTGTACGTTTTGTTGGATAGGACAAATCCTATACAATAAAACGTGGCATGTAAACAGCAAAACGTACGTATTGTCGGAAGGAAACACATAGTGTGTATACACTGGACAAAACGTACGTTTTATCGTACGTTTTATATGACCAACAAAACGTACAATAAGGCGTAGCGTGAAAACGGGCCTTAAGTCTTATTTGACATATTCTGTGATGAAGTCAATTACCTATATTTAATCCTGCTGCTCACAATAAATTTGGCATAAAATTGTTGACCAGTAAAAGTATAGTGTCCGCTGTAATATATATTGTAGTTCATCGTCCATCTTATTCTGTAAATGTCTGCTTTGGTTTTATGCATTTTTTGTTTGAGTAGAGCTGTAACTCACGGTTGATAAGGGCTTTTTAGATATAACATACCGATTTTTAAAAAATTATCCTTTTTGTCCGGCTTTTTTACTTTGTAGTTTTCATAACATCCGTAATTTTCAAACCCGCTTTTCGAAGTATCATTTCACCTGCTTTCACTGAGTTAGTTAATGAATCTATAATTGCGATACTTGGTTTCACAAGTGACAACAGAGTGAAGGTAACAGTCGGATTTAAGTAGAAAAGGCTAAGTGAAGTAAACTGTAACCAACTCTATGTTTTCGTATTCTACTCTTTTACTGCCCAAAAATTCTGCACAATCCAATATTTTAAAATTGATTTCTTCTTTGTAATATCATTATACACACATCCATCCATCCAATGGCACTACAGCTCAAATCGAGCTTTTTCCTCGTTCAACAAGCTTCTCCAATCATTTCGATTTACCGCTGTGTTTTTCCATGAACGCGTTCCCAGGCAGTTCCGGGCATCCTCGTCGACTTCGTCTTCCCATCTCTTGTTAGGTGTTTTTCCTTGCATTCTTGCATTTAGTAATTTTCTTGGGATTCTATTCTTATGCATGTGGACCACGCGCCCTGCCCACCGTAATCTCTGCAGTTTAGTGTATTGTGCTAGAGTTGGTTCGCTATATTGCTCGTATATTTCTCTATTGTACCTAATTCGCCAGTTTTTCTTTTGACTTATTGGGCCCAGTATTCTACGTCATATTTTTCTTTCAAACACATCTAATGCATTGGCAGATTTCTATGTAATCACCCATATTACACAACCATAACTTACTATGGGCCTGATTATTGTTTTGTAGACCCGGAGTTTTGTTTTACGGTGTACGTCTCGCGATTTGAATATGTGGCCCATCGCGAAACAGGCTTTATTTTCCAACACAAGCCTTCTATTTTTTTCCGGTTCTTCTTCATTGCTTGCAACCAGATCCATTCCTAGGTATGTGAATCAATTCACATGTTCTATACCGTCAATAAAGTGTTGTTGCGCCGGTCCATTTGATCTGATTTGTATGAGTAGTTTTGTTTTATTTGTATTTATTGCTAGCCCTACCGCTTCTGCACTCTGTTTTAACTCAAGGTAGGTTTCTTCCTCTGCATTTACTGTTCTGCTCATTATGTTAATATCATCTGCGTATGCTGTTAATTGGGTAGATTTGTTTGTAAGTATGTTATCTCCGCTTACCGTCAACCGTTTAACTACATATTAAAGAACAAGATTAAAGAGCGTTGGGCCAATTCATCGCCTTGTTGCGATCCTTGCGTTATCGTAAACGCATCAGTGATCTGTCCTTAAATACATACCTGTGCTTCTGTTTGGTTTGATTCTGTTTGGTTCTTTAACGAAACTCGTTGGTTTGAGAGGCTCTTAAAACAATTTCTAAATGCAAGGACAGTAAAATGCCAATTGATCCATTTTCATTAATGCAAACTATTGGGATCCCAGAATTTCTTATTTTAGTAGTTTGTCTTAGTGATGTTTAAGGTACAACTGTATCACTTAGTCTTATTCTTTAGTCAACAAAATCAAATTTGAAGAAGGCTACTGAGGCCATAGAAGACACTAAATGCATTATTCAAAACAAAAGATCAAATGCTGAATGTCATTGTCATTTATACTAGTCGTAATAATTTTGATGGTATGTCAAATTCTTCCAATATATTAGGTAGAATTGTACTATCTATTAAATCATAGGCTTGTTTAAAATCTACAAAGACAGTGTAAACGTCCATGTCATATTCCCATGCTTTGGCTAGTATTTGTTTAACTGTAAATAGTTGGTCAATGGTAGATCTATTTTTCTAAACTCTGCTTGATATTCCCCGATGTTTTTTTTCGTGAGAAGTTAAAGTCTTTAATTAAAGATGTTTGTGAGTATTTTGTATCCCGAAAAAAGTAAAGAGATGCCTCTATAATTCTGACATAACAGTTTGTCTCCGTTTTTATGAATAGGGCAGATTCTACTTTTCTTGCATCTATTCCCGGTGCTGTATGGCTTTTTTGTATGTGGATTGTCGTTTGGACCTCCTCTAGCGTTGGGGGTCTAGTTAATTCATTTTCTTCTCCATCTTACCCAGGCTCATGTTGTAATTCCTGTCGTGCCTGTTGCTGCCTCTGTTGTTGTAATGGTGGTTTAGTAATTTCTTAAAATATGTCATTCAGGTTCTCCTAATTTCTTTCATATCGCTAATGATTTCACCCTTTTTAATTTTGCAGAGGCTAGTCTTCGGTTTGTATCGCTGTCTTAAATGTTCGATAAATTGGTATGCACTACGTGTTTTGTTTTCCTTAAACTACCTCTTAATGTTTAGTATCTGTTAGTTTTCCCACTTTCTCTTTTTCTGCTTGCACAGTTTATCTGTTCTTGGTCTTTTGTTCTTAAATTCTGCTTTTCTCTCTCTAGTTCATCTGAGTATGTAATTCTTATGTGCTTCATTTTTTACTGTATAGCTTGTTTGTATTCTTTATCGAACCACGTTTCTTCTCTCCATTGTGTCTTTGTTCCTAAGACTTCTTTCGCTGTGTTGAGTATGATACTGCTTATGGTGTTCCTTTGGTTTTCTATTGTGGAGTCTGCTCTGTTTTCTTCTAGTAATTTTTCATCCACTGTTCTCTTAAATCTTTCTTGTACCTCAGAGACTACTTTTAGGTTATCTTAGTTTAGTTTTTCTTGTTTTGGATACTTTTCCTTTACCTGTCGACTAATTTTGCATCTAAACCGTGTCTGTACTGCGTACGTCTGCTTTTTACGTCTAATATACTTGTCGCCATTCTTTTTTCAGCCAGTATATAATCTATTTGATTGATTGTATTTCCGTCAGGTGATATACAGGTGCTCTTATGTATGTCCCGATGTGGGAGGCATGTCGAACTGATAATCATTATTTCCAGCTGCGAAATCTATTTGAAACTGACCATTCTCATTTGTGTCTCTATGCAAACTATGTTTCCCTATTACCCCTATGTACTCTTCTTCTTTTAAGATCATGGCGTTTGTGTAGCCTATCATCATTTTCATGTCATTTCTTGATATTGAGTCATAGATTATTTATTCACATATACATACACATCTATTTTAAAAAAAAACATATCTGCTAAAGTTTTTAATAATTTAGTATCCTATTGTAATCATATTTTTAGCTTTAATAATGTCAGTGTGTTCTTATTATTTATGTTTGTGTTATTAATTGTTAAACGGTAATGATTTAAAACAAAATATATTTCTGCTCCAAAAATTTCTGAATATGTTGTCTTAATTTGACTAACATGCAATTATTTTCTTTTCGAAACAAACATTAATCTTGTACAACGTCCCGAATCGAAATCTTTAAAGCAAATCCCCGAGCTTAAAAACGCTATCATATTTTAAACTCGCTTTTCGTAAACAGGCATGTTAATCAACTCCAAAAAGCTCCAGAAAGTGAAAGATCATCAGAAAGTAACTTTTTCCCCGGGCAAAGTAAATAAAAAACGAATCAGAGAGCGACTAGAACGGGAAAAAAGTCTGCTCCTAACGAAGGAAATTTCTCGAAATAATTCCAACGAAATGCAAGTCACAGATTTAAGTGTTTTTTAAGATGATTGAATTTTTTGCTCGCTGCGAAAAGTGAGTCGATTCTAACAGTGTATAATGATCTGGATCATTAGTGGCGCGCCGCAAAACCACAACACACCATACATGGAGTGATAGATTATGCTTTAAACCAAAGAGTAATTTTCCAGATATATTTTTCCACGGCCATCACGCTGTTGTGGTATTAAATATTCATTTCTTGGAAGTTTGGAGGGTTGTTTGCTAATAGTGTTAATGTTTGGGGTAAATTAATATTAATTGGGGCCTCACGAGGAATAATTGGAACATTAAATAATAAAATAAACGGTTTAGCTGCATTTTAAAGCTCTGGTTTAAAGTGATTGATGCCATAACAAATTTTCTTTGTAATTATTCAAAGTAAATCTGTTAATCTTGACGAGATATTTTTGTAATGTAGATTATTAACGAAAGATTAAAGAGGTGGTTTTACTGTGGTATTTGCCAATCTACTTTAAATGTATAATTTCTATAGTTAAAACTATGAGCAATGATTGCGGGCTTAACTGAATCGTTAAAAATATTAAGTGGATAGTCATAATAAAAACACATTATTTCTAAGCTCTTTACCACTCTTTGCACGATAGACTGTGACTATGACACAATGACTAATAGGAAACTTCCTATGGATAAAGAATAGTAACACAGATCTGAAGAGGATATAACCAGATCCGCGAATTCATTCAGAACACTACCTAGGTGCTGCTATATTGATTATCTGTAAAATTTTTGTTGTAAGTTTTAGTGTAGTATTTAACAAGTTTATACCTCTGTAGTTTTCTGCATATTTCTGCATAAATTAATATTATATTTTTTTCTAGGTGAATGGTATGCTTCACAATACTGGACAATCGCTGGTGTTTCGTATAGATAAAGACAGCAAAACTCTTGTTAATATAACTGGAGGACCCTTAGCGTACAGATACCAATTTGAAGAAATCTATATCCACTATGGTATAGAAAACCAACAGGGATCCGAGCATTATATCCACGGATACTCCTTTCCTGCCGAGGTAACTATTACACCATATGCTATATAATATTTAATATATTTCCCATTGCACATTATAATACAATGATACAGTGTCATAGAAGGGGTCCTAATTGGAAGAGGCAGCAAAATTATATACTGCATTGCATTTTAACCAAAATTTCTACTTAAATTAACTTCGTACTGTCTTTATGTACCATGTCCTTTCAGAACGTTGGTTATCATCATAGCTATCTTAATTTTATTCACTGCCACTCTAAATAGCATGCTTCTATCAACACCATACCAATATTGCAAGTTCTTCAATCATGAGGTTTTTTTTTCGTCCTTTGACTGCTATTTTTCCTTGCATGATATTTTGTAGCAGCCTATATTTGGGACCTCACCTTACATGTCCAAAATACTCCAGCTTTCTCTGTTTGATGCTTTTTATGATCTCAGTAGTCTTGCTGAGACGTTCTAGTATTGTAGAGTTTCGAATCTTCTCCACCCAGGAAACTTTTAAAATTTTTTTATAGCACCACATTTCGAAAGCCTTAAAGCAATTTAGATCGATTTTATTCACAATCCAGGACTTGACACCATAAGACCGAGAACCCGTACCAGCGAAGTAGACGGATCCTCAATGCCAATTTTAGGTCTATGTTAAATACCATCTTGGACATCCTTCTAAAAGCAGGTGATTTTCTGCGTTAAAATTTAATTGTGGTCCAAGGTAAACGATTTTATCGACGTTCAAGTTTAGTATTATTTACATATATAAACAGTTTTATATGTTGTTTACTTATGTTCAGATCCAGATCTGTCTCCCTTCAACTCTCAACGACACTATTAATTAGTGTTTGCAGATCTTCTAGACAAGAAGCTAGAAGTACTGTATCGTCCGAATATTGCAAATTATTGATGACTTCACCATTCACAAGTATTCCTTCTTTATCATAAATTCTAGATCGTAAGAATCTTGAGCTAGGACGACTTGGTTATCAGCAAAGTTCAGGGAGAACAGTACGTCATTTCACTGCCTCAATATATAAATTAAACAGCAAGGGTGACATATTGCATCGTTGTCTTAGTCTATTAGTTACTTTTATTAGCTCTGATAGTCTATTTCCGATTTTTAGGTAAGTAGTGTTATCCCTGTATACTTCTGTGATTATTCCTAAAAGGTATTAACTAATGCCGAGTTGTTGTAAAGCTTGTCACATTTTAAGTCTTGAAAATGTATCATACGCATTTTCTAGGTCGATGAAGGCTAAACGTACTTCGGTAATAACCGCTATTCTTTTTTCTGTTAATTGTTGAAGTATAAACAAGTTATCAAGATCTACCAGGCGTAAATCCACTTTGGTCTTTGCCAATTAGATGCCCTACATCATCTTGTATTTTTTTTATTTATTATCATTCCAAACAATCTCCAGGTATGGGAATTGTAGATAGGACACTTAATCCATCCTCTGTAGCAGTTAGGATCTTTTCGATTGCCCTTTTTTTCAGATGGACACTTGGTGAGCGGTTTTCTATTCAGATGGTACTTTAATTTGTTGGCAGCATTGATTCATTAGAAAAGTTATTCGTTCTATTAGGAGTGGACCTCCTGCTTTAAGTAATTTTACAGCTATATTGCCAAGTCCTGGAGATCGCCCATTTTTCATTTTATTAAAGTCATGTATTATAAAAGTGAATATTGAGTGTTCTTAAAGCTACATTAGTGTTTAAGTGAAAGCAGACAACTTCGATTTAAGAGGCGTTTGGTGGAAGTCTCCCTTTTTGAAAGTAACCATACGTTCTATGTCTTCCATTAGAATATCTTCAGCTTCTTCCAAGTACTTTGTTTATATTGATAAAAACCAGTTATTGACATGTCTGCAGTATAAAGGCTAAAAAGCAGTATTGTGAGTACCGAGTCTGGTAACAGAGCATTTTTGATATTTCGGGAAAATCTATTTCTGATCCTGTAATTACTTATAATAGTACTCTGTTGTTGAGCATATTTTCTATTAATCTAGCGGTGAATTTGTAAGAAATAGTGTGTAAGAGTTTATAATTTCTTCTCGCCAGACCGTGTCAATAGCTGCTGGCAGATCTAGAAAAGCAGTACGACTGGCTTTCACGTAAGTACAGAGAGCTGAGATCTGGTCGGTGTAACCTTGATTTTATTTAGAACCTGCTTGGTCGATTGGAATAAGTTTAAGGATAATCGGGCTTATTTTTTTAAAAATTGAATTTTAAGTTATTTATACGGTATACAGAATTGAGCAATTGGTCAATAGTTTTTTGGGTGAGCCATCTGGTTTGCTCGGCTTTACTTTGGCTTAAATTTTAAATGTGTCAAATTTCCGTGATATTCTATTGATCTGTGTAATGTTTGTAAAGAAATGTACTAGTCAAGTAGTTGTCTATATCCTCACTTGAAGATGAATTCGTGGTAAATGTCGTAGAAACGTGAGGCTTTTTCAGGAGATACGTTTTTAAGGGCGGTCTTCTTTTTCTGCTCTTATGAAAGGGCGGGAATGTTCGTCTAGGTCGATTCTGATTACAAGATTTTTACAAGTTTCTTTACACTTCGTGTGTGAGCTTTACCTCCAGTCGCTTTCGATGTCAATTAAGAATTATCAGTAAATGTACCCAATACATAAGCTTTGCGCCGTCTTAGGTATCACTCTACATGATATTCGAAGAGAAGTAGCTAGAGAAGTGAAACGAAAGTAAGAAACTTTAGGTCAACACATCGGCAAAATAAACCAGAAAGAACCTTGTCTTAACAAATAAACTGAACCTTTAGGAGGAACTTTCGTATGTGATCCATCTTCATTACCCTGTGTGCAGGATTCTCAATCTTCTGCAAGTCTGAGCATTCAAGTGTAAAAGAAACATGTAAAAATTAGATGTATTATTTGCTGACTCTAATACCTTATGTGAATGTTCCGTAGTACAAAATTTATTTATTCTCTATGGAAAAAACCTTAGATGCAATGCAATGACACGTTCTCTTGCACGCAACTGTTATGGCCAATCAGGACTACCCTCTTCTGGATCAACAAGTATTTCTTGTTTGAACTGGACACTTCAAGTAAATTAAGTAGGGTTAATTAGGTAAATGGACAAAATAGCTGGTATTAAAAAGGAAAAGGTGCCTCAAACTAATGAACAGAATAGATAAATAAAGCGTGGTAAGAATTGGTTGAGGTTAGTAACAACAGGGACAGGAGATAGCTATTCCATGTTCTAAAGAGAAGGCATGATGGTTTAAACATAGAAAAGGTAAGTACATATAAAAAATTAAAATAGACTATTTGTCCAAAATCAAGACAAAAAGAAAAATATAACTTTAAAGTCTATTTAAAAATGATTGCATGGTACAAAGTCATAAAACAGAAACTTAAGATTTTTATTCAGTAGGTATTATATTTATATAAAGTAGAATTTAAGAGCAAGTTATTCAGGCTCTTCCTCTTATATAAAAAGGTTCATGTAATAACTTTTGTATGAACTCACACAACATCCTCTGACACCAAACTTACATAATTTATAGAAAGCTGAATCTCTTTTATTTTCGGTTTTTATCTATTTATAAATCAAAGTGACAGCGCGTGAAGGCGTTACGTCAACTGTATTTATTTTATGACAAAATCGAAGGAAGTTTGAAAAGCACAGGTCTATTTATAAGGGCGATTAAAATGGATACAATGCAGCTAAAAATCGATAGATCAAGGTTAAACACTGAAAAGAATAGTTATTCCGGGTGATTTGTTCTTGCCAAGCTAATTTTATAAAATGGGGAAATGAGGGGACGGATCTTAAAAAATAGAACATAGTATGCTAAGAATGAGAAATATACAGCATGTCTTAAAAGTATATAATTTAACATAATATTTATGAAATAATAAAAAAGACAAAGAAATCTTTGAGCAAGAATATATAATTTACTGCGAGTTCGCAACCACACATTTACCTAAAGACTTATAATTTCATCTACCTCATACTTTTGTTCTATGGAATGATTTTTTACTAGACTTAGTATATAATGTAATATTTTTTGTCGCAACCATTCTTGAATATTAGCTTTTCGCATAGTAACTTGTTGGTATCTTTTCATATTTTCTGCTATGGTAGGACGCATTATCTGGGACAATAACTTAGCTAAAGTTGGCAAAACCCTCTTCAGCCAATCTTCAAAAAGGTTGAAATTCATATCTTAATGAAATAGACAGCAAAGATTTGATGTCACGTACAAAGCGTCTATGTATCTCTTTATACGTATTTCGCCCTAATAGGGCTCATCAGAACCGCAATTCATAGGCGTTCTTAACGTGAAAAATAAATCTTTTCTGTAAAAAAGAAGCAAGACTAAAATGGCTTCGATATGGACGCAATAGCGACATCTGATAATAAATCCGTAAAATAGTTTCGAAACCAATTTAGATTTCTGCTTTAATCTGAACGTTCTAAAAATTGCAAGGTATAACAGACGTTGATAAATATGTTAATAGAGACATGGGAAATCTAAAATTTGCATTCTACGACATGCCTCTTCAACTAAGCAGAAATCCTTAGCGAATTGGTTTCTTGTACTCATATAGAGTAGATCCGAATAAAATGAAAAAGACAGTCACGATTTGATTTTACGTACAAAGCGTCTATGTATCTGTTTATACGTATTTCGCCCTAATAGGGCTCATCAGAACCGCAACTCAGGGGTTCTCAACGTGAAAAATAAATCTTTTCTGTCTTAAAGTGTTGCTTCTCAAAGCTTTGATTGTATATTTTATAAAACGTATTTTTTAATTTCAAACAACTTTTTCCAATAACAATTTCGATATTGTGAAATATAAAGGTAATTAGTAAAACTTAATATCTGAATATTGTATCTTAGGTTTTATACCATGAACAACTTTTTATAAGGAATTGTTTATTTTGTTAAATTAATAATAAAAATGTTTCCATATAATGCCGACTTAATTGGACAAACTATGTATATATACGTCTTCTTCTTCTTCTAATGGATCTACAACTCTTTGTGGG